GAGCTTCTTCTAAGTGGCTTTTTTGTGTGTATGCACATGTAGATAGAATGCTTTAAACTGATTTTGAGGCTGCTAAGGTAGGCATGTGCAGGCAAAGAAATCCCAGAGTCCCAGAGGTTCATGCAGAGGTGGGTTTTTTGTTGCCTTTTTTTTTTTTTTTTAAAACCATGAAGCATTTAACCTGTCCCTTAGCACTGATGAGGTCTAGTTCTGACTTCATCATTATTTAAAATAGCTTTAGGATTGTTTTGTGTTACAGAGTCAGTGCACTCTCCTTCTGTGCTTTCCTAGCCTGTCCATTATTTATTTGTTAAAAGATTTAGCTTCAAGAGAGAAAATTAAAGTACCAAATAGTTTTGGTAGTAACACCGCGGAGCTTCTTCTAAGTGGCTTTTTTGTGTGTATGCACATGTAGATAGAATGCTTTAAACTGATTTTGAGGCTGCTAAGGTAGGCATGTGCAGGCAAAGAAATCCCAGAGTCCCAGAGGTTCATGCAGAGGTGGGTTTTTTGTTGCCTTTTTTTTTTTTTTTAAAACCATGCAGCCTTTATAAACAGTATTTGGGAATAACAGTATCAAATTTCCCATACTATATGCTGCAATCTTAGATCTACATTCTTAATTTCTAACAGCTGGGCTTACATGGTTAAATTTCTACTATGCTTCAGAAATGCATTCTAGTTGTTACTGATAACAACTATAATGATACGGATAACAGAATCAAACCAAATATTTAAAAGCATTAGCCCCCAAAATAACCTGCTAAACCTATTCCTTAACTCTCAGCCAGATGAAGCCAGGAGCCAGACAAACAAATTAGTGTTTTTCCAAATGAGTACATTGTATCAGGTTCTTAAATCCTTCCTTGGACAGCTCAGTAAAAAGAGACCGAAAGCATCAGTACCCTCCTGCCTGGCTCTGAAAACATTAAATCCAAGATTGAAATGGGGAGATATGGAGCAGCGCTGATTAGATCAAGCGCCGTACCAGGCGTCTGGGCTGCACAGCGACTAAACAAGGGTGGTGAGGCCAAGGAGCATGGTACGTACCATGTGAACGTATTGGTTCAGACCTCCTTTAGCGAGGGGATCTCACTGCTTGTTTGCAACATAGTTGAGCACTTGGTCCCGGTGTCTCCTTCCCCAGCAAGATGAATGGCAGAATCTCCAAAAATGGGACACTGAAGTGAGTATGTGTGACCTTGGGAATCTGCTTTGCTTTAGGCTGCATGACCTGCAGTACTGAACCCCACATACTTTGGGCTCTGGAGTCTTGTGTCTTGGGGGCATTGTTCAGTTCTTTGGCATCACAGAACTGGTGGGAAAGGACTAACCCTGCTTCCACCAAGCATTCAAAGTGCGTGCGATAAAAAAGCGATGTGTGAGGGGCTGCTGACAAGCATCTGGACTGACAGAGATGACCCTCTGCTGCTGACTTATCAGTCGACATTCTGCAGACTGAAAGGGGATGACCAGTTCTCTGGGGAAGGCGGAGTACAAAACATGACCAAAGATGAAAAGGAACTTCAGAAGCGCCTTAAGGCCCCAGCTGAGATCTTGTGAAATCCCTTAGTGCCAGGCTGTCTGCAAAATGCGCAGTGCAAGAGAGCCTCACACAGAGAAGGCATGTGGAATGGGAAGGGAAAAGCAGGAAAAACAGCAGTTCCCAAACACCTCACAGGAAATCAGTGTCATAAGCAGAAACTGAATGCTAAGTCTTAGTCCCTGCCCAGTGCTTTGTTACCTGTTTCGTCATGACCTGCACAGGTTGGTGCTTGTTTCAAGATACTGTATTAGAAGGGTGCAAAAAATCCACTACAGGTGTCGCTTTTGTTGTGAAAATATCAGCAGTTCAGTTAACCAGAAATGATGGCCCTGCTGCATGCTTTTGGGGGCAGCATCCCCTCCCTCCTGGAAAAAGTGCCTTTTGGAAGGATGACTTAACAAAATGCCTGCCTGTCTGCAAAACGGCTCATGTCAGCCAAGTGCCAAGTGAGGAGAGGAGGTAGAGCCACAGTTTGAGAAGAGTTATGCCCGTCCTCGTGGCCCCTTGAAAATATCGACCCCTTATATGGCAGAAAATTCAGTGCGAGTTGAAGCTGTCAGAGAGGATTTAATTCTTGCTGAGTGCTCTTTGACTCCTCTCAGAGTCCCAGAATGAAGCTGAGGTCAGGGACTCAGTGACTGCTGGCTACTAGCCCTGCCACAGCTCTGGCAAGCTGCAGTGCCAGCAGCTTGTACCCATGTAATGTGGATCAATAAATCTCACCGTAAGACTGATAGCTTGTCCCCGTGTCCTGGGACTCCCCATCTCCAGCATCGGGGACTGAGATGAGGTACATATAACTGCATTGAAAGGGAAGATGTGCCTTTTGTCCAGGAATTAATGTTTCCCTTCTATGCACACTTCTACATAGAATGGGCTGAATTACTTCACATCGAGCCAGAACATCCAAACCCATTGATGACATTTCAAGCAAGTGCAGCACTTGTCACATTAATGGCAAAATCTCCACTGCTTTTATGCATCTCCCTTTTAGAGCTTAGGTTATCAGTGGTAACTCTATCCCTGATTATTTTTGGTAGAGTAGCTCTCACCCACCTTGTATGCAAGTAATATGTTTGTTGTAGACATGGTGCTGCAGTCTAATCCTAGACCCATAATTTAATACAGTGAGGAAAGGGCCAGTCACCTTCAGGGAAGCCTTTCTAGTTTATGTCAGCAAAGTATTTGGCTCTGTAAAGATTGTTGTTTATAAAGATATTGAAATTGCATATGATCAGCTTAGATTGAAAAAATAAAAATATATTTTTGTAAGCATTTTCCTGGAATTGGTTCAGACATTCAAGTGTTCATTGGTCAGTAATAAAATTCAGATCATTTAAACGTCTGCAGTAAATCAAAAACTTTTTTTCAGAAGCAGCAGCTCAAATGTTATCATTTTAAATAGCATTATAAATATACCCACAGTAATGACTGCAACACCAGTTTCTTATATACACAGAAATTAGCCATGATTATCAATATTATTCTTTATTGCTTTTGAATTGAAATAAATTTAGAAATTTATTAATATATGCTATTGCAGCTCACTGATTCATAGATTTTACAGCTAAAAGGGGATATTATACCAGTCTGCCTCATCTCTTGTACAGCAATTTATACAGCTTCCTTATAGTAGTCTGTTTAAATAAGTGTATCTTACACTTGGAATTTAGGACCTCTGTGTTCTGTGGCCTTTACCTGGCTGTTTTTAGTAAGCCCCTGACAGTCAGCCAATAATTTGTCACTCTCCACATTCTGACTAGTTTATACCAAAATTTCTGCTTGCTATTTTGACTCCACCAAGGTGGTGGTTCCTTGCACACCTTTCATCTAAACTCAGAGACAGGTGTGCTTCTTTGACCACAATATAATTTTGTTGAAGTCTAACAATAATTTTTTTCTTTAGATGCTGACTTGTTTTGCATCAATGGCAAGACACTAACTGATTTCAGTATAGCCAAAATTTAATCCTTATTTGTATGAGGTGACCAATATTGTTATACATCTGCATTCCCACAGTCAGAGCTTTCCACTAACAAAGACAGCGAAGGCATTTAAAGGCTGCGTGACCGCATCAACAAGTAATAGGGAATTTTCTCTCAGACCTTAGCTACGCAGAAGTTTGTCATGTCATATGAACATAAAGCATCTTAGTTATGAGTTGAGGTTAGCCTCTTTAGTCAGAACAACTGGCTAAAGAATCATAAATAAATTAGACTAGTTCTTGGTATTGCAAGTATTTTGTCATTGCAGATGCCCAGTCCTGTTACCACTGAGCTCAGACCTGTTCACAAGTTCAGCCCTTGCTAATTAGCTGTTTCCTTCTCCTACGTCTTTTCCATATGTCTATAAGCAGGACACATTTCATGTATGCAGGCTTGATTCACCAGAACTGACGCACATATACAACTTGATGTAGCATGAATTATTCCATCAACAGCAACTAGATAACTCATACACGTAAAGAAGAGCATATCTGTGAATAATGTCAGGAGAGGAGCCTTAGTCTGGAAATTGCCTTCCTTTGGGGGTCCCCCTCACTCTCATTTTTAATTCTTGCAACAACTTATAAATTAGTTTCTCCGTTATTTCATAGCACGTTTGTCATGTGTCGCTAGACAAGATGTGGTGACCACTAAATTTTCTGTAAGTTACAGCAGAATCAAAGAAGAGAGACCTGTTCTCTTCCCACCCTGCCTCCCAGAGAGGGTATTAGTTGTGTGGTCACTTTTATCTTGTGGCAGGTTTTTTTCACTTAATTAAATTTCCTTAGTGTCACAAACCTGTATGATTTTTGTAATAGTGATCCCGGTTTCCCTGAGGTTTTACCATGTAGAAGTGTATTCAGAACTTACTCTGTGTCTCCACTGGAAAGAGCTGTCTGCAGAAATCAGTTGAGTTTCCGTGGCAGACCTGCAAAGAAAGCTCTACCCCATTAGATAACAGAGAGTCCATACTACTAAATGAAAGCAGGTACGAGATCCTCTCTATATTTGCAAGCAACCCCTAAATTTTGCTGATGAATTCCTGGCATTTTGTTAGTAAATATTTCTAGAATAGACGACATCTGACATAATTTTGTAGATACATACTAAGGGTGCATACATACACACACATATATAACATATATATATGCATACCTATACATATGCACATATGTGGACACTTTTAAACATCTGTCTCAGTAGATAACAGTGGAATTTGCTGCATTCTTTCCCGATTCCTTTGGGGCTCTGGAATTTCAGGATCTGACTTCTTCTAATAGGGAATCTCTAGATGTGTTGTTTCAAATGCTGGTTTAAATAAAAAGAAAAAGCAGCAGCAATACTGCACATCACAATAGCAGGTTAAATATAGACATGGATTACAGAGCCATTGTTTTCACTCCTGCTAAATAAGACAGTACTCTTAAAATGGAACGCCACTTGACCTTTTGTGTCTCATCAGTCGGTGATTGTATTTAACTGATGCAGGGAGGAAACATTTCCCCCTGGAACTGTCCCCTGTTGATATGACGATCACTACTGCTGGGTCACACCATGCACAGGAGGCAGAAACCCAGCACTCCAGAACACAAGAGGGATTTTGCAGCTCATGGAGGAGCTCTGTCCATGTCCCACAATGACACACGCTCTTTTTTCAACTTCTCTCAGCTTGTGCTCTCTGTTGGCAATCTCAAGTCACCACCAGTGCTCAAACATTCAAAAATTACTTACTTTGAAGTGGAAATTCTTGATGTGCAAAGCAAGAAGCAGATCTGCATTGTGGACAAGGTGAGTGTATTATTCCAGCACGCTGGGGCTGTGCCTGGTTCACACAGTGCCACTTCAGGGACTCTGTTTTCACTCTGTTGTGGTCTTATTCTGTAGTAGAAATACTTTCATTCTTTTCTCTGGGAGATACTCACAACTTCTCGTTAGTCACAATCCTTGGCTGTTTTTCTCCAGGACTTTTACAAATATTCCAAGACTGGTTTCTTTTAGACTTCCTGGCTGCTCTGTGGACTCAAGATATGTCCTTAGGCTGTCTCTTGACACTAGATTACAGTGTTTATTTCAGAGCATGATACTTAAACGTCTACTTCAGAATGGATATTCAGTTTTAATACATTTGTAAAGCTTAGCATCTCTGCAATGCTGTGGGTTCCTGTTGGTATCTAAATGTACTCAGCTGCGCCCTACTTATGGGATTGGGCAGGAAGCTGGCAATTTTTAAAATTTTTTATTTTTAAACAAAGGGTCTTAGCTAAGAGAGGTATGTTTTTTTAATAATGTGAATGAAAAAATATAAACTACAGTAGGAAGGAGTTTACAACACAGTAAACAACAGCTGAAAAAATGCTTCCTAAATATTTTCATCACAGTTTTCATTGTCCCTCAGCAGAAAAGCTGGTCTCTTGCATGCCGCATGCCTGATGAGAGGACTGGGTAGGAAGGAAGTTTACAACACAGTAAACAACAGCTGAAAAAATGCTTCCTAAATATTTTCATCACAGTTTTTGTGATTCATTGTCCCTCAGCAGAAAAGCTGGTCTCTTGCATGCCATGAAAATGGGAATCCTAATCTATTTAGATTATAGGATTTTTCAGTAACTTAGTAGAGTTTTGAGACTTACTGTTTTGCTAGAAGAAAAAAATAAAAATAAAAAATTCCCTTATCCTCACTGGCAACAGCTGGAACTGGTGGATAAGTTTGCTTCAGATGTTTAATTTAATGCCTTTGCAATATTCAGGGTGGAATACTACCAGATTTCTAGTGTTCTTGATTGTTTATAAAGGGTGTTTTTGCAACCTGTATGCCTAGTTAAAGGTAAATGTCTCATTTGTTCATTCTTAATGGGGCAAAATATTTTTTGAGATGTTTTTAATCTAGCCAAAGGGGAAATGTGCAAAATGGTCAAACCAATATGATGACTGTTAATACCAGTTCTAATGATAGTGTTTGCATTTATTTAATTTACTGAGGGATATTTACAGTTATTAAAAAGGGTTATCTAAATACTATACTATACCTTATGGTTTCGATCCAAAAAAAGACTGAGTCTGTTTCTTACTTTAAGCTTTCCTATAGTGTCATTAAAAGAAATACATTAACAGAAACAGAATTAGGTCAAGAGCTACATTTCAGGAATCCTTCCATGATGCACTGAAGAACGGTAGTCTGCTGGGACTATAGCAGACCTGCGTTTTAATCTTTATTCTGAATTTTGATGATCCTGAACCTTTTCTACACCATGGTCTGCTACCATGGACTCTGCCCCTGTAGCGGTAGAAAGCGAGTTACAAGTGGCGATTGCGAAGTACTCTCTATATAGAGGTAAAATACACACAGAGGAGCAATAGCAGCTGTAAACTGAAAGCGTCTGCTCAGGAATCTGTGTTCAATTTACATGGCAAATGGCCAGCAGCAAGGACTTTTTTTTTTTTTTTGGCACAGTACCAAGGGATTGGTGCAAGTATAGTGCAAGGCTGAGATTTCCAAGACTGCCTAAAGAATTTAGATTTTGAATGCACATTCACCTGGCTGTCTAAGCCCCTTAATTTGCTGGGATAATCCCTTCCTAAGGCAACCCTGAAAGTACAGAAGTCATATTTCTTACTTCTGTGAACACTTGTTAGTATTGGTGAACTTCATTTCAGTTGGTTATTAGAGCGAACAAGAGACCATTTTACTGGATTATGCATAATCTTCTGCTTAATTAAATATAACATTGATACAGACCCAACATGACACTTCTAATGCTTGTTTTCTCTTTGTAAGATAATTATGGTTAGCTTCATTTCTTGGGGTTGTATGTAATTATTACTTGTCAGGATTTATAATAGGAGAGAATAGGAACCATAGATTTTAAAATGTATGTATTTACATTCTTATTGCATATTGTTAGTAGTTCAGACTATTATGATTTAGCAAACACATTTGTAATATTCTCAGATTAATAAATCTAAAGGGACAAACTATATTATAATGGTAGAGAGAAGACCCTTTTCTTTCTCCACCTAATGGAAAGTTAGGCAGAGTGATTAGATGATTAATGCTATGTGGTTAAATACCAGTCACTGCTTCCAGAGCATTAGCTTCTATGAGACTCTTGCATATGTCAGGAAAGGCAGAAAAAAAATATTGAAAGAAAGTAGTAGAAGAGGAAAACCCCTGACATTTTATCCCATAGTCATCCCCTCCAGGAGCTGGGTCTTGAAGAAAAATACCTAATCTTGCAAAAACTTGAAGTAAATTCACAAGAGTCAGCAACAGTGGCAGTTCATTTTGCACATGCGTACTTTGAACATAAAATTCTTTATAGGAGTATAATTTCTTCTATTTAATATTGCCAACCTACTCTGGGGACCTTCTCTGCTATGGATATGACATTATGCAAGCAGTTTGGTGCACACGAGCTTTTCCAGTGAGTTACTTAAAGAATTTAAAAGAGAAATGATAACAGTGTGAGATCTTTCTCCCCAGATTTGCTCTTGGTACAGAAATTAATCCTGAGGTGAGATGTCATGGAGAAGAGGCTTCAGATTTTGGGGATGGGGAGAGAAGAGAGGAAACTATCAGTACTTAAAGGGGGTTTATAAAAAAGATGGCGGCAAACTTTTTAGCAGGGCCTGTTGTGACAAGACAAGGGGGAATGGCTTTAAACTAAAGGGGGGTAGATT